ATGTATTTTATTCAGAGCCCACTCCTTGAATCTACATGACTCAATTTTCCGTCAAGACTAACAATTACCTGTTCACTTGTTCCTCTATTGGCAAGATATCCCAATGAATTTGAGCTAAAATATGATATGAAAGTGTCAGTGCCTAGGTGGATTAGCAAAATGTCTGATTGCTGTTACAAAAAATATTCCTTCCACCACTACTCCTTTTTCCAGTTTTAATCATTCAATAGAAGATATATTTTGATTAGGCCAGACATAATTTGAAGAAGCACATTTCTTTTCCATAAACCTCATTGCATACTTTACAAAGAACTAAAAATCATGTTTAAAACAACATCAAAGTCAAATTTTTAAAAAGCAAACTTTGGTCACGTCCACGCTTTTCTAGACAGTATAATCGGTTGGTATGAGACCATTATTATCAAAATCATAGCCATTGTCATTTTGTACAAAATTAAACTTACTTTTTGACTTAACCCAACTCTAAACACTCTATCAACTTTAATTTACCTGATCCCCATAATTTCCCATCTTCTTGCTTGTGTACGTGTGCATACGTACCTGTGCACATACCGGCTGCATATATACACCAATCGATGCATCTGTGCGTGTGTGTTTGTGTCGTATGTGCGTGTTTTCATGGCTTTAGCCGTTGCTTCGCTCGATGAAAAGCGTCTTCTTTCCTATCTCTTCAACACGTCTCGTGCGGACGCCCACAATATCCTTGAACGTCCGGTTAATGATGAACGCCTTTACTCGGTGCTGCAAATGAAAGTTTTCCTGTGCCAGATTGTGGACCTGGTAAGGAGACGTTGACCTCTGAACTTGCATTATTTCTTATTCATTCCAGTAATTGTATTATTTTAACTTCATTAAAAGCGATTTTTACTTGAGAAACTCGTACCAAACATGTCGATTGAAGCAGGGAGGTGATAATTCTATGTTTAGTGTAAAAAACTCGGTATTGCTCGATATTTTTGTGTTTTCTTTAAGGTCGGTGCGACCGAATACTGCCTTGGTTACTGGTGCGAAGAGAAGACATTAGAAGGTGAGTAATAGATGATGTAGCTGCTGAAATCTTCACATTTGCACAAAGAGAAAATGGAAAAATGAATATGAGATTCTGGAAAGAAAAACCATGTAAGAAAATAATAATGTCCAAATGACGACCGAGGAAGTGACTGTCTGAGTAGATGATGCATCAATTCGCATAGAAATATCTCTCCGGGCTTATACACAAAAGATGACCTTATGCAAGCAGGCTGCATCAACATTGGTCAAATTTAATGCTTCTTGTGTAGAACAGATAATGATCCTTTCATTATGCATAATTGTATGAATAATTCCTAACCAAGAAGTAAAATCGTGTGCTTTCTGTTATGCTCTATTTGTTATTAATTAATTTTACTTAATTCTATTAATCTGTATTTGCGAAGAAAAGTTGGGTTTCGAGGAATCTCATGTTTCATAATTGTTGAGCTTACTTCCATTTCGGGTGAAAGTGTTGGGTGAAGAGATTCGAAGGTAGGTTCCACCAGAAGACAACAGTGGGTCAAAATGAATCCGCCGTCGTCTTCTGGTGGAACCGACCTTCGAATCTCTTTACCCAACACTTTCACTGCAAATGGAAGTAAGCTCAATAATTATGAAACATGAGATTGCTCGAAACCCAACTTTCCTTCGCAAATACAAAGTAGCCTATAGATGGCTGCATAATCTTGAATTTCCAAGGAAAAAATTGTTTTTTCTAAGGAATAACGAATGACTCCAAGATGATATGAAGGGTAAACGACTTTTTTTGCCGTGAGAAAATAATTTACACCTCCCATTTTTCACGATCATGCTTTCAGTCCTACATTTAGTGTGGATGAAGTGTGAAGCGAGATCGAAATAGCGCTCCAGTCGAGCTATGAGAACTGCCTATTGAGAGGCATTTTAACGTGAGATTCAACAAAAAATGCTAACCTCATAAATTGAATCCAGTACAAAACCCAAAGAGGCTTCTGAAAACTGCAAAACATGCTGTTTCTCACCTCATAAAAGAAGTCATGGCAGAAAGTGACAATGGTGGTATATAAAAACAAAGTGGAAGACATATATTCATTAAATTGAATCTGAAGCACTTTTGACCTACTTTCGATATGAGAGTTTTTAGATAATTATTGATAGTTTCGAAAATTACTTATATCGCAAATGAGTAATACACGTTCCGAAACCGAATTTATTTTGCTTTTTTCCTGACAGAACGAGAAAGAACAGGTCCTCACCACCAACTTGTGGCCTGAACTGGTAAGTTAACGAATTAATTTACTTTATTCTTCCTCTTTATGACTGACTGCTAATCAGCCATAAGATCTCGGTTGACTTTCTTCATTGCCTTTAAAAGAAAATTTCCAATTTTGTCGTTCGACTAACTACGTTGGATACGCTGACGACATGAATTTTGGCACTAAAAGGGTCTCATGTTAGGTTGACCCTCTTCATCCATTACGAGGCAAAAGCCGCTTGGATCTGAAGTTGGCGCGGATTTCTGTCAATTGATTTTACCGTAAACCGAAGCAGGATTGCCGCGGAGTGAAGAAGTCCTCGGCACATTGTCCTGCACTCCGATGTGAAGTTATTTCCTAAAGCAGTGGTTCCCAAACTTTTCCTAGTCGCGACGCTCTTATTCAATTAAAATCTTTTCATGGCGCCCTACCCTAAGTATGACTATTCTTAAGTAAGAGATATAAATATATAAAAACTCGTGTATCTTCATTATTGTTTTTACTTTATTACCATTAAATTAATATTCAATAATTAATGTGATGGATGAGCCTGAAAATCACTGAACATCTTCTCAAATTGAAGCTTTTACAATATTTCGCGGCGCACAGTTTGAGAATCACTGTCCTAAAGCATAAATTATTGCATTAATGATGTCTGACACAGTGGTACAAATGAAAGCATAGTACATGTACATCAGGGTCGCATGACTAAATCCAACAGTCTTCACTCTGTGGCAATTTTCCTTCGGTATCCATTGAGACCAATTCAAGGATTCCTTTCAAAGAAATTTTTCTTTAAAAGGGAATTTTATGCCACTGAAAATTACTAAGAATTCTTAGAAACCCACTTTGTTAACATGGACACAATGACTTTGCAAACGAGACTAACTTGATGTGTATTTTGGACTGGTATCCTTTCAAC